GAGTCCAGCCCGGGGTCATCACATGTGGTTGCCGCAGGCATCACAATATGGTAAGGGACGTAACAGTTCCGTCTCACGCTTGAGGAATTCGGCCAATCACAACGCACTGGATAGCTGGCCAATCACAGCACACCTCGCTTTTCAGACCGATGAGCTTTGTAAAAATCGACGCGTTTCAGAAAGGCGGGGCATAGAGGAGAAACAATAATGTACAGTATGTGGAAAATAATGTGTTTTTTGAACCTTAAACCACATAAACACATTTCATTACACCAAATACACAAAATAATGTTCTTTTTAGCAGCATCATATGACCCCTTTAAAATAAAGTGATGTACAGCGTGATTAAGCCACCCAGTGCTCTGGTGCTGCTGGTTAGGCTAATCAAAATTGTGAACCCTAATTATTGTCTGATGAATAGGCTAACATAAAAAGCTATTTTTTAAAAATAAATTATGAGTATGTTGGTCTACAAGAAATGCTAAAATGTTGTAGTAGTTGGATGGGGGTGCTGTCTGCTGTTATGTCCCCACAAAATCAAACCTACGCCCTTGATATAAATGAGTGAAATACTCTTTTATTTTATCTTTTTGTTTTTACATTACATGTTTTATGTATTAAACATTCACATATTTTGAAAAATGGTTTAATCAACACTGTCACGTGCGGGATTTTGTCTGACTGGCTAAATAATGCAAAGAGAAAGAGAAAATATATTTTGACTTTCAGAAAGATTATCAATAAATATTTGGGGAAAACGTCGGTGATCGAGATGCTGACGTAGGCTATTTTATAGGACAAAAATCTTCGGTAAATAGTTGACGGCAGTGGGGTCATTTAAGAATTTGGTCCAGGCATCTGAATTTAGTTATTTTGTCTTTAACTGTAACTAATGTTAGAAAAAACAAGACAAAACAAGACCAAGAGCGCATACACTTGCTAAAGCGGTTTTGAAAAAGCCATTTTATTGCATCATTATACCAAGGATTCATGACAAATCTCTCCAGATATCATTCAGGAGCTGCAGAGAGAGAGAGCATAACACAACATCACAAAGTCATTATTGGGAGACGATGAGAATGAGAGAGAGAAATGCTCTATCTATCCATACATAATCAATAATAGTCCATTTCTCTCACTTCCCAGCAGTGTGAGCGGGAAAAAAGCAGAAGCTGAGCACGAGCTTCGAGGAGGGTCCGCTCAAATCCGTTCTCCTTAGATCTTTCCGAAAACACAGGTCGCAGAATAATCAAATATGATGTCGCAGAGTATTAAACGTGATCAGAGGTAGCCATGGAGGTGTTCCATGTTTTTTTAAAAACTCCCGCCAAACGTTGGATTCCCGCCCCCACACAGCCGTGCTCAGCGTTTACAGTGTGTGCGTGAGAGAAACCGTCAACCCTCCACCCTTCATGCCCTGAACATCAATAAAGACACATATACTGGAAGGAAAAGAGGAACAGAAAATATCCAAATAGTAGAGTTAAGGCGATAGTGCATAGTGCCATGTCTAAATGAGTTCGTGCGTTGCCTACTCCATCTTTATTACTTCAATCAGCCAATCAACAGTCTGATAAAACATGTCCATTTTATTGCTCGAATAAACAGTCTTTCCCCATTTCATGTGCATATAAGGTGGCGTGACAATGTGTAATATTTTCGGTGCTGGTTTGATAACTAAATGCCTTATTCGTGTGTGAAGCCCAAGAGTGTAACTGTAGATACTATCTGTAAATCTCATCACAATCTTCTATTTACCAGCAGAGGTGCAAGAGAGCGAGCGCTATGTTCATCCTTATACCATTATAAAAACGTATGAATAAAATACAGTTTTGTAGAAAGCAATTTTGCTTTGGTCCCCTTCAAATAAGTTCTCTTCTTTACCATCTTTTAATCCTTTTCCTTCAGTTAAGAAAATAGATCCGGAATCGGGACTACAATTGACGGAATGCGTGCTTACAAAAATATCATTCCGCTCTTTTTCTATTCTAGACAATGACAGGAAAACACAAATTTGGTCCTCGGTGTGAGTGAAGCGGTCATTTGTGTGATTGTCAGGAGAACCATTGTGTGTGTGCGAATACACTATGGCACTAAAATAAGAACAAAAATCAAAAATCGACAAGGTATCTCTGAGTTTTCAAGGACGTTGTCGTCCGAGACTTGTGTGTATGTGTTTGCGAGGGAACGCTGCGGTTCGGCTTCTGTCACTCGGGTTTGGGTTCGAGGGTTTCGGTCTTGGCCTCCGGGTCTTCGTCACTCTCGATTCCCGAGCGGCTGACGATGCGGCGCATGGTGAAGGGCAGATCGCCGCGTCTGGACACAAAACACGCACATTTCAATGTCAGACACGCATTCGATCACATGCAGGCCTCAGTAAGGTAACATACTTTATTCCCGATTTCTGCTTCCCTCGATTAATCAGAATGATAGGAAGACAGAATAATAGTATAAAAATGTAGAAAAACTGAAAGTATAGAGAAATAGATAAAACAATAGAACTATAGAAAAATAGAATAATAAATTAATACATCATTGGAATTAGGAATTTCACTGTTTTTTCACTGTTTTATTTTTAACTTTTCCATTTTCAATTGAATTTTAGTTAAATGTTCAGTCATGTTGTTGTGCTTTTGTTATTTTTATTAGTTGTAGTTATTTTAGTACTTCAAATTAAACTAAAAGGAAATCATTTTTTAATGTCCATTTAGTTTTTAATTACATTTTTAAACTAAATTTCAGTTTTAGTAAATAGCTATTTTAGTAATTCAACTTGTAAATGTAATTCGTAATTATTCAAATATGTCTATAATTTCTTATATGTATTTTATATATTTTTTAATCATTTTTATTTCAGTTTTAGACTGAACCAAACTAAACAAAAATTACAAATATGCTCTGGCAGCTATGTAAAATTGTAGCTATAATTTATTTTATTTCAGCTAACATTTTTGTTTCAAGTAACAAAAATTTATTTTTTTTATGGTTTTACTTAAACTACTAAAAATATATGATATATGACAATATATAATATTATGCACTTAGCTGAACTAAATTCTAAACAAAAATTAGAAATATAGATTTTTAATGTCTATGTAGTTTTTATTCATTTAATTTTAGTTTTTAGTTATTTAAATACTCAAAGTCAAACGAAATGAAAATAGCTAAGAGTAATGAAAACATCTTTTTTAATGGTTTATTATTGAATAAGTTATTTTAGTTCTATTTAATAACACAGATGTGAATGTGCAATAATTCTGATGAAATGTAAAAATAAATGTTTTTTTAATTAATTAAATTAATTATTAATAATAGCAATTCTAATATCTCTCGTGCCGCTGTGTTTTCCCGCACCGGAGTTTGCTCTTCAGGCTGTTGACCTCGCGGTTCATGGCGTCGGCGGACTCGGAGGCGTCCTCCAGCTCCCGCTGTAGTTTCCTGCGGTTGGCGTTTGCTCTCTGCGCCTCCTCCTCAGCCTCCTCCAGCTGCCGCTTCAGCTGCTTCATGCGGCTGTTCAGCTTCTCAGACTGCAGGCGATGGCAAACAGCCGTTAGCGTCACTAAACTTGAACCTTGAGCACAGAGTTTGTGGTGAGCGTCACCTGATCTTTAAACTGCTCCGTGTTGCGTCTCTCGTCGTCCACCTGCAGAATCACCTCCTTCAGCTTCTTCTCTGCACGACGCACTAGTTTTGAGGCCTGCTGGCGCTCTCTGAACACAAACATCATCCATTACTTTGAGCTTTTCCCAAACAGATCAATTATTGTGTACGTTTTTATTTGTTGACCTAAATGTTTAATGGTGTTTAATCTGAAAACTGTCATTTTCTAATGTAATTATATTTATTGTATATTTTCTGAATTGTAAAACATATCTTGTATGTTAAGTAATCTAAAACTGCACATTTTATCTATGTATTAATAAAAAATAGACAAACTACTAATTGTATACATTTTTATTTTTAGATCTAAATGTACAAGTTAGTAGGTAATTGATGTGTGTTTAATCTGAAATTTGAAATAAATGTTATTTTCTAATTTAATTATATGTTAATGTAAATTTCATTTATTGAGTTATTTTCTAATTTAATGTATTAATTTATTTGTATATTTACCAAATAATAAAATACCTAACTTGTGTGGTAAATAGTCTAAAATCTCTAAATATCTGTATAAGTTTCTATGTAAATGAATGTATAGGTATTATTTGTATCTGTATTGTCATTAATTTTAATCTGAAATTTAAAGTACATTTCATTTAGTTAAAATGCAATTATTTAATGTATCCATGTTTATTTGTATATTTTTTTAAATAATAAAATGCATATCTTGTATGGTAAATTGTCTAAATATGTTTCATTGTAGATACATGTGTATGTATGCATTTGTATCTGTATTGTGATTAATAAAAATGATTAATTGTTAATTAAAATGTCAGAATATGTCTATATGTTTCTATGTAATTGTTTATGTATTTGTATTTTTTTGTTGATTTGTATCTGTATTAATAAAAACTGTTTAATTATTAATTGCATTCAATGTTTATTTGTTGATTTAAATAAAGAAATACTTGATTTATTTATTATATATTTATTATATATTTTTTGGTAAACCTAAATTTATGTTATGTGCATTAATCTGAAATTTAAGTACATTTTCAAATTTAATATTTATTTATTTGTGTATCATCTAAATAATAAAGTGCATATCTTTTATATTAAACAGTCTAAAAATCTCTAAATATGATTATATTTTTCTTTGTAACATTTTTTTTACATTTTTTTTCTGATTTGTATCTGTATTGTGATAAATAGAATAAATAGATGATTATAAAACGGAGAGTTCCGGTCCTTGATTCTGATTGGTTGAGACAGGTTCGAAGCTTTTGTAAATTACTCTACAAACATACACCTTTGTTTACTTCTGTGTTGCTCGGTAACCACTTTGTTGGAACCACAGCTGATTCTGAGGAACTACACTGTTTGGTGGAAGAATACTGTTTTTATTATCATTACACTTTATTTGCTCTGTTTTATTTTGTGAAACCTTACTACGTATATGGAATAACCGTTTTATAAAAGCAATAAGCCCCGTGAAGCCATGGTTTACAGTGAATTTATAACAGCTAAAGGGCGTTGTTCGGCACGATGCAAAGCTTATTGCTGGGGCTTATTGCTTTAATTATTAATTGTATACATTTTTCTATTTGTTGACCTAAATTGTATAACTTAGAAGTAAATTTCATTACAGTTTTGAGTAATTATTTATTTGTATATTTCCGAATAATAAAATGCATATATTGCATGGTAAACAGTCTAAAAATGTCTATATCAGCCTATGCATCTTTCTGTTTCTATGTGAATGTGTGTGTGTGTGTGTGTGTGTTGTTGTACTTGGTCTCGACGTCGAGCTGCTCTTCCACCTGGCCGATTTTGGCCTCCAGGGCGACGATGGTGGCCTTGTATTTGCTCTTGACGGTTCCCTCCAGCTCGGTGAGTTTGAGCTTCAGCTCCTTGTTCTGGCGCTCCATCTGCGAGCGCGCTCCCTCCAGACGCTGGCAGGTGCTGCGCTCCGCCGTCAGCTCCACGTTGATCTGGTCCGTCTGCGGAGAAAGCGGACAGAGAGGCACTCGTGAGCGTGCTGTGGAGGTCAGACGCGAGTGGCGGGACCCTCAGCGCTCCTGACCTGCAGCAGGGCTCTCTTGAGCCGGTCGTTCACCAGCTCCGTGTTGTTCTGCTCCTCCTCCAGCTCCTCCTCCAGCTGAGCGATCCGTGCCTCCAGACGCCTCCTCTCCTCCGAGCCCAGACAGCTGAGCACACCAACACAAACACAATGGATTATGGGCCATTATAAAACAGATAGTTCCGGTCCTTGGTTCTGATTGGTTGAGCCGCGTTCGAAGCTGTTGTAAATTACTCTACAAACATACACCTTTGTTTACTTCTGTGTGTTGCTTGGCAACCACTTTGTTGGCAGTGTTGGGGAGTAACTAGTTACATGTAACGGCGTTACGTAATTTAATTACAAAATAAATGTAACTGTAATCAGTTACAGTTACTAAGAAAAAATGTGTAATTAAATTACAGTTACTTATGAAAATGTTAACAATTACAAAGGGCATTACATTTGAATATTTACACACATCCACATACAGATTTAATTGATTTCTTTCTCAAATTGCACTGACTACTCTGAGACATAATTTCTGCGATGCGGTAAACACAAACTGGTTCGTAGAACCCAGTCATAAAAACAGAATTCCTATAGCCTAACGTGGACGGAATATGCCACATTTTGGACGAATAAATCAAAAGTAGGTCAGTACACTTGAATCAAAACGCGATATGGACTAGCGTGTCTGTGGAAATCAGGCGCGGACTGGCCATCGGGAGAACCGGGACTATTCCCAGTGGCCTGGCGGCCGATTTGGCCCACTATTTTAATATTATTATTGTATAGCTGCCTGCCGAATGTACTAAAGCGATTATTTCCATTCCAATTTGCCATTCGATAATTAAATCTCTAATAAATCATGAATGGGTTAGTCGTGACTGGCAATGCTTCGGCTCGCGCGCTCAGAGTAATCAATGCGAGAGAGAGAATGGA